CAGTGAAAAGCATCTTGGGAATTTCCAGAATTTTAAATTGGGATTTTTTTTCCCCTCTTTGTTATTGCTCATGAGGATGTCATAGCTGTATATTCTCCACTGCTGCTGATGCATCACATGATGTGATAAAAGGTAACAGGTAGCTCACTTCTACACTGATGAAACCAGCTTATCTTTTGCTTGATCAAAGTATTTCCTATTTATACTATAATAAACAATTTGACATACTGAGGGATTTTTTCCCCTCTTGTGTTAGCCTGAAGTTATTTTTCCAGGGTACTGAAAACCAGCTGCTCCTCTAATTAGTACACTGAGTGCTTATTTTATTCCTCAGATAAAAGTGTCTTATGTTGTAACGAAACAGTTTGACACTTAAGTCACACATTCATCTATTTTATTGCGAAAGTCTGCTTAAAGAGTAGACATCCCAGATAAGGCAACACATTTAATGTGCCATTTCTCTGCATTTTTATTAGCATTACTGCCAATTGGAATAATTTACAAATAATTTCTTCTCCAGCACATAAATATATAAAATATTTTACTTTTCACATACTGGCAGAACATTTCAGGTCATTCTCCAGATTGCAGAGACGTATGCACCTCTCATAGTCTGCAGCGTTTATGTTCATACAGTACCTAATTATGTCTAAGAATAAAGCAAATCAAGGGTATAAACTAAGGTGAGATTTGACCTCTATTTGCAGACCAAAAGCAAACAATATGTCCCTACCAGGCACAGCACACTGGATAGATGCCCAGCTATACTGAACCACCTTCTGCTGGCACACAGTCGCACTCCACTTGTACCAAGATGTAAGCAAAACTCTGGCCTAATGTGAATCTCATGCTCCAACATGTGACGGAACCACCACTCCTCACCTCACTTCCCCAAAAGAGGCATTTTTGCACAGAAAATCCCTTTTCCTTCTGGTCTGTTTTGGTGCTTTCATCTCCCCCATCACAGCAATGCCGTAGCATCTTCCGGTAGTTCATAAAAGGCTGTTTCTGTTGATTTATAAGATTTCTCTTGAGACCTTGAAATAGTTGAAGCAGATTCTCATTTTTCTCCCTAATTCATTTTTTTTTTAATGCCAACTATCATATTTCTCCCTGCGGCAGCTGCGTTCCTCTTCACCTGGGTGAAGCATGCTTTGCAGAACAGCAAACAGACTTGGAAGAAAAGGTGTTTGAAGGAAATTCAGTGGGTCCTCCAGCCTCTGATGCTTATCTCCCTACAGCGAGGACTGGTGAGAAGTAGATTTTCACTGGAAATCAGTGCCTTCAGCACATGCTAAGGGGACAAATGTAGCTGGGATTGTGGTCCTTTGCAGGGCTGTGGCATGTCCTCAGGACAAGGTATGGCCAAGACTGAGGGCTTCCCAAGTGCCACCACCAGTTACCGCAACCCACCCCCTGCCCCAGCACAGGAACAAAGCATCTCCTGTCCCAGTGGCCCAAACTCGCCTCAGCTGTTGGGGTGAAAAAAGCCAAGTTAATAGGCAATCATGTGGTCAGCCTCTTGGGAATATTTGCCAGATGTCTCTGGGGATGGCAAACTGGTTTTTGATGTTTCTCAATATAGGATTTGCTGTGAGTTTGTATTTGTCTGTACAGGGAAAAAATATGTCTTGATCTGTTTGCCAGCCCCAAGCCACCCTGGTGTCCCATTTTAATGTTTCTTGGATGCTCTCCCTCTTCCCCAGCCCTGCAGCAGCTTGCCCAGCAGATAAGTAACCCAAACCTCTCCATGTGCCATGGGCTTCACAATATGGGACAACCCGCATCCTTGTGATCCCAACAGGCAGGAGTCCCCTCCGGCCACTCTGAGCCCTGGAGCACATTTGCAAGCTCTTGAGCATCCTCAGCATCACCCCATGACAGTCTCTGGGGGCAAACCCACTCATTGAACTTGGTTCCACCCTGCCAACGGCAGGGCTGCTGGCATGTCACCTGTGAAGGGAGGTTGATGGTAGCACTCAAGAGTCATGGAGCCATTAAAAGCAATACGACACCCATGAAGAGTTCCTGGGCAAAATCCAAGCTGTGCAATTGCCATTTTCACTTAAGTTCAAGTAGCCTTTTCTAACTAACTACATTTTGCCTTCAAATGCAATAAATTATGAAATGCACCTTCATTTCTGCTCTGATTTGAGGCTCAACTCTGTGTTACTGAACAGCTGTACACTACAGCCCCAGAGGCAATTGTCCTTGGGTGTCTCTAGAGTTGATCCCTGAGTTATTCACTGAGCTTGGGGAGATCCTTTGTGGCAGAAGGTGACATACAGGTGTGAAATGCTCTTGTCATATCAGTTTATGCTCAGCCACAAAACCACTCCAGCATACATTGCACATGCTCCTCGTAAAACACGTTTTGTCCAACCTAGCAACCCTGCTCCTACAGCTCAAATGCTTCCTCAGCCTGACCTAGACAGGGTTGAGCCTCCCTCCAGATCCCTACAGAAAACAGGGTTGGTGATGAAATACAAATTCAGACCAGCTCCAGTTGCTCATTATTTGAAGCCCATCAGTTAAATAAGCCATGGCAGATACAGCCACTCTGCCATCCTGCAATGAGAATGTACTCCCAAGGTAATTTCTGATGAAAACCGTATGTTTGCACTAGGTCTGTCCAGGCTGGTTCAGATTAAATATAAACCACTGCCAATTGTATTACCTCATTATTAGCAGACACTGGCAGCAGCCTTGTGTGGAGGAACGGACGTCTGGCTACACTACCTGCTGTCACATCATAATTCATGTCAGGTGCCGGGAGATGCGCAGGAGGATTAGCACCTCCCCTCTAGCTTTCCTGACCTCCTTGAACGTGACCTTTCATCCAGTCGAGCTTCCCACCCACCTGATGCTGAGCCAAAGCCTTGGAAAGGTTCAGCAACCCTTCACAGGACTACACGGGAAGGAGGGTAAGGTTGTCCCTGGGAGTGCAGGCATGACAGACAGCCCCAGGAGCTCACTGGGTTCAAGCCCTGCTACCAAATGATGCTCATGCACAGTGGGAGAGGAAAGAGGAAGCTATTGCTGGTTCTCACTCTGCATATTTCAAGTTAAATAAATTTAAAAACAATGACGACAATCTATCAAAGTACCCATAAGCCATATAATATTAATACAAGCTATATAGCATTAATTCAACTTTCAGGCAAGGTAAATCATTCACATAATATTCCCCTATTTGTTCAGTGACTAAGAAATTTCCCATTACCCTGTCTATTTTTAATGTATGGTCCATTTGCCCTTCACATAGCACAGACTTGTGTCCAGCCCCCAAACTCTCTGCTCAAAACACTGCAACAGGCAGCTGAGACATAAGAACAATAAAAACACCCGACACAACTGGACTCTATCTTTGGAGCTGTTGAGCTGGAAGAGATGGAGAATCACCTCCCATCTCTGCAGAAAACACATTGAGCTTTCTGAAAAGTCTCAAACAGGAATTTAACACCTTCCATCTGCAGCCCATTACTCTAGATTGTAACCCCACCTCTCCGATTACAGGTCCCTGCACACTAGGAGTGTATACAGAACAGTGCCAAAGTCTCAAGTCTGCGAGACTAAGAGTCAGGGAATAACTGGAGATGAATCAAAACTGGAAGCCAAGTCCACAGCACTCTTTTTCCAAAAAAGCACAGAGTTTCGGTAAAAGACCCCATGAATTGGCACCATGCTGAGTCTGGCCTTCCTTCACAAAACCTAAAGAGGAATCACCTGGTCTGCTAGGAAAGGCCAGCAGAACATAACAAGGTGCAAACAATAATTTTTTTTAAAAACAATGCTTTTAAAAGCAATGGGGGTTTTATTTTTTCTTTTCTTTTAGGAATGAGATCATTTCAACGACTGGTCTTCTCTATCTTCCAGGTTTTGTGTTACTTTGTCTCCCTGTCGAGGGGAGATGCTGAACACCCCCGGGCAGGCTGACAGCCTCTTCCCTGCTTCCCCTGGCCCGATGAATATAGTTGTGCTGTGCATCTCATGGGGGCATTCAAGTCAGACATCCCCAAGGAGGTTGGAAAGCTTCTCTCCCATTGCCACCATCTCCCATGGTCTCTGCTCTCAGCAGTCTCCCCAAGGATGCTGGCGTCACATCGGCTTCCCAAACATCCCCCTTCAGACCAGGGTTGCATCCAGCACTCTGGTTTGGCGTGATTTCATCTAACTTTGCACAGTGTTTCCACCCTGCCGCAGCCGCCTGCAGAAGGGTGGGAGAAGGTCAGATCTGCACCCCAGCTTCCCTGCACGTTTCAGGCATCAGGAAAGTCTCCCTTCCTGCTCTGACCAAGGACATTTTAAAGACAGCCCGTTCATTGTGATCATCTCTGATTGTAGTTTTGCAGCAGTTAAAAAGTCCTCTCTGGGCTCCAGCATCCTGATGTTGCATTTCTCTTTTCCTGTTAATGGTGGGTTCTGTTTCTTTTATTACCTCTTAGTAATTGTTTGACGAGCTCTCACAGCAGGACTTTGCTCAAAATTATTCCACTCTTCTAAACTTCTCCTTCAAAAACCATCAACACTTCATTACAACACAACACAGCTCCCATCCACAGCATCTTTTTTACTTGCAAGGGGCGGTGAGACCACAGGACTGGGCAACTCTGCTTGGTTGGGTGCTCAGGTCATCTCCCAGTATGTGTCACTGGGCCAGATGCTGCCCAGGAATACAAAGAGAAACGTTACAACAGCCTTGCAAAAGACCATTTGCAACTCTGCAGAGAAAGGTTGCAAAAAAGGTCTGTCTTCACTCAACTGTATCAGCTGGTTTAAATATAAGATGCTCCATCTCCCTTGCATGGGTTGCCTGAGGGGCAGGTTTATGCACAGGAGGCTGACGGCTCACAGTCATCTGCCCTTTCCTTGCAAATTGTCTCTGCTTCCTCTCCAGACCTTCCTTGAGACCGTAAACTATTTGAGCCAAAACCATGAGCTACAATGCACTGAGAAAGCCCCCCTCCGCCAGTAACAGAGAACCAGCAGCAAGGACTTACCATCCATGTCAAGGCGTTGCATGATAATCGCCAGCTCCACCTCACTGGGCATGTATCCCAAGGAACGCATTGCCATGCCCAGCTCCTGTTTGGATATAAAGCCATTGCCATCCCTGTCCAGCACCCGGAAAGCTTCGCGGATTTCTGTAAAGGAGAAAGAGAGGAGTTGTTATGGTGGAGGACTCCCTGATCAATGCATCTGCACACGTGGGACACAGAATATATTGCATTTTCTAATGTTAATGATACATATTTGGCCATTTCAAGTCAGTGCAATCAGGGTATGTTCATACACACACACACACACATATATATATATATGTGTGTGTGTATGCAGTCATGCATGCATGCCTCTGTATGCAGACAGATAAATACAACAGCATCCCCACTCACGCTGCCTGTTTTCTGTGCTAAATATCAATGCAAAATTATGTATTCATTACACATCGAACTCCGTTTCTTTCTGCTGCAGCTGCCCTGGACTGCTGTGGGTGAACCATCCTGATCTTCAGTAAAGTCTCCCTGCATACAGCTGTACAGCAAACCCCAGCCCCAGGGGCTTCTGCAGCAGCTCTTCTCCAAACCCCTCAGCATGTCTGCAAGGCACGTTTAATTTATGTTACATGGGCAGACCAAGCTCGAACTTTTTCCAACAAAACTCTGTGAAAAGAACAGCTGGGTGCTGACTGCCTCCTCTGCAGGGCACGGAGCTCTGCAGCTGGAGCCTGGATGTACACGTTCTCCCTTGTTCAATAAATGCAGATGTACATACATCTTTTAAACCATACCTGGGCAATTTCCATCTCTCACTCCAAATCTTTTCTCTAATTTATAACTGTTTTACAGCAGTAAACAGCCTCTGATCAATAAAAATGCTGATGGCATCAAAGGAATCACTTCCATTATTCTTCCTCAGCCTGGCTCAGCTTCTGACACCTGACTTTGTTATGTTTTTTAATTCTGGCATATTCCCCTCCAGCCTTTAAGAGTCACTATCCACTCGTGCACCACATCGAAGGGCTCCTATGCATCCACCACTTCAATGACCCTGCATGTTTCCTGCTCCTCACAGATGTCTCAGCTTGAAGCCCCACCACCAAACTCCCCAGATCTGACTGTTGCAAATGCCAAACAGAGAAATTTTAACATTTCAGCCAGCTGGGAGCCTGTTTACTTTAAAGGGTTTGGTTGGAGGTGGGGAGAGAAAGAGGAATTGGTTTCTTAGTTCTGGTTAAACAATCTTTTCCCCATGCTGTGGAGAGGAAAACACAGGATGCTTTATCGTATCTCTTTTAGGAATGAGGATAGAAGAAAAATCAGTATGCTGGGGCCCGCTGCAACTTTGCTCAGAGGAGTTTAATCTTCACGTGAAAGCATTTCATTGGAGAAGTGGGAGGGAAAACTCAGCAGGCTTTTTTGTGAAAAACCCCAACAAAAACCTAATGAAAAAATGTTCTATTCTCTATCAGGAAACAGAGTGGATGGAAAAAGTTTGGCCAGTCCTGGGTAGTTCAGGCATTAAACCTCAGACAAGAAAATATTCTCAGTCCTGCCAAGGACTGCCAGCATGTCACCTCTGCCCTCTGCTCCCCAGGGGTAGGGGAGGCACCCGCCCCTGCTGTGGAGCTACGTGAAAGGTAACGGATGGTCCTCAGCCCTCCTGGGAAAAAGCCAGGAGCATCATAACCCACTAGGAAACAGTTTCAGTGACATCTCTGCCAACAGGTTCTGTAAAGCTTTACAATTCAAGCTGCTTCCAAATCACCTCACATCAAAGTTCACCACCTCCCTTGACAACACCAGTGCATTAGCAAAGTCTGCTCCGATTTCCATGGGATGCTTTCTGCCATGTGTAATACCCTGGTGAGGCGCCAGGGCCAGGGCACCTCCACGACCTACCGCTTCATCTTCACCACAGCTGCGTTATCATAATGAGATATGATCAATATTTAATGCAGCCAAAGAGCCCACTGATGCAAAAAGGGAAGATCCTATTAATGCCAATGAATACTGGGCCATATCTGTAATATCCACATGGGTTCAAGTATGCATCAACTGTGGCTTCTTTAAACTTAAATGCTTCACCCTGTCTCGCTGCCAGCCCAGGCTGGTGTAGGCTTGGTGCTATGAAAAGATGGTGAGGCTGTTCAAAGCAAGCTCGGCTGGAAGTATCAGTACATAATGCAAAGAACCTTTGGAGTAGGAACGAATCCCATTAGACACTGCCAGCTGTAGTGAAATCTATTTTCATATGCTGTGCTGAAAGCTAAAGTGCAGTAAATATTACATCGAAATCAATTAATTTTAAAATAAACTTTTGACAGCTGAAGACGAAAGAACTAAAAATATAGCAGGGAGCCGAGAAAGTATTTTAGAAAATAAAATATGAGTCTACCTTCAAAAAAGTTTACGCAAGAGTTAGACTGATCCAAATTACATGAATAAATTATGTCTGTACAAAGGCTCTGCTGTAGGATATCTGAATGCCAATATCTATCAAGTATCTTCTCCAGATACCCCGATACTGAAGGGGCATTTAACAGCACTGCAACCTTTGAGCCTCGATCAGAGGAAACTGCACGTCTGGGGTCCAGCTCTGTTCCGTATCTCTCAGAAATCGGAAATTTTGACCAAGCCTGAAACATCCTTCACACATCAGCTCCTGACACCAAATGAAGCTTTTTTCACTCATCACTCTATAAATACCACTTGTGCAGAGGTATATTTGAAGAGCTATTTATAGGATGAACACACTGTACACGAAGGAGCTATGACCTCAGTCAGTGCCTCCTCTTTATCTTTACATGTAACACCACCTCCTTATCAGCTTTTCTTTATAGTGATTCTTTCTCCTCTGACACACTCGTGGGTGCTGTCCTGCACAGCACCCAGAGTGTGAGCCACAGGCCTGAGCACCCTTCCCAAACACAGCCCCACCAGCGCTGCCGAAGAGCCGGTCCCAAACAGCGGTCCATGAACATGTGGTACCCTGGCTGGCCCTTACCTTTATCTCCAGCTGTTAAATTTCATTATCCAAAGCTAAAAATACATCAGCACTTTCCCCATATGACTTTCCCAAAGAAGTCACCATGGCAACTGATGCTTCTGGCTCAGAACTGGGAGTGGATGTGGTCCATGGAGTAAACCTCTCCACAAAGACATTGCCAGGGCTCAGGAGTAACTTTGAGACCTCTTCCATTGTGGCTGGCTGGCTGCTCTGCATAGGGATGCTTTACCCTGGCCAAGAAGTTAAGTCTTTGTAAGGAAGAGTAAGGATAACAGTGGGGGGCAGGTGACAAAGCAATGGTGCCCAGCGGTCGCCTTTCCCCTTGCCCATCCAGGATGGCAGCAGAGCCTCTACACCCAATGAAGCACATAGATTACACCTTTCCTGGAGTGTTAGCAAAGACTAATATTTATTCCACTTTCCACTACATAGTATCCTCTTTTACTCCCAAAGGTAGGCAGTTGACACAGAAATATATTTGAGGATAAAAGGGAAGAAAGAAGAGAAAACATAGAAAGATTTAGAGAACAGAAAATAGGCCATTTTGCTGGTGAAGGCACTGACCTGAGCCTCAGGAAACATCACCCCTTCTCAAGGAGCCCAGGCTAGGACCTGAGTGCTCTTCTCCATGTCTCAGTTTCTCCAGCCCCTGGACACAGTGATGCCGCTCCTCTATATAAAGTGATTTCAACATAAAAGTGCTCACCTGACAGCCAGTGACAATTAGCAGCACTAAACTGTCTCACTCCCAGAATTAATCTGAAGAGTACCAGCAAGCGATGCTTCTGCAGAGAGAGGGACTGTCAGATGGACCATACACAGAGCTTAATGCTGAACACCGTGCAAGTGAAAGAGGGAAGAGACAGGATCAGCATCTGGCCCCATCCTAACTAACATCTTTGTTAATGATCTCAAAGAGAGAGCAGCCACAACATTAATTAAATTCCAAAATGATACAAGGCTGGAAAGAATTGCCAGGACAAAAAGTCCAGCAAGAAGGAAGGAGCGCTGTGAGGACTGGCCAAGATTGGGGAGCAGAAGGGCCCTTGCCTGAGCCATCTGGGCCAAGGCAGGTGTGGTGAACTGGGTTTGAAGGCATGTTGCTCAGGAAAGTTTAGCCTTACGTTTTTTGCCTGGTGAGGATTTATATTCCATGGGACCCAAGAGCACAACACTCACTTCTCAGAGTCATCTGAGCATTCAAAAGCTGCATATGAGGAGGGTTGCTTTTAATTAATTCCCTCTCTTTCCTCACATTCAACAGCTGCACCTTCAAGCTTCCCTATTAATGAGCACATGACCATCCAATTACCCCCACACTCCTCTGGGAAGAAAGAAAGGAAGAATCAGGGAAAAGGATTATTTTCTTTCATTACCTTCCTGAAGGGCACAAACAAGACTGCTGTCAGAGTTGGACCTGACACCCGGCCTAGCAAGGCATTAACTCTCTCCATCTGCATCCAGAAAAGACATCCTCACCCACCCGCTCACGCGGCACCGGCTCCATCCTTTCCCTTCAAAACATCTCTCGGCACTTCCAGCTGCCCTGGCCAAGCAGGAACCTGACCTTTCGCTCCCAGCCCCGGCTCATCCCTTCTCCACATTCAGTAACAGGTTTATTTACAGATGATTTCCCTATAACTGGTTACTAGAGGCAACCATCACGGATTTTGCTTTGCTTCCTGAATGAGAATGAATCACAATACTCCAGGAAATAAATTCAGCCTGAGCCACTAGTGTCCACTAGCTACCCTTGGGCGCTGCAGATGGTTTCAGGTTATTTCGCTGGGAATAAATATCACCATAATAAATTTTGTAATTACGCTGTAACTACCACACCCTAAATGCACAGCAATTACAATCAGAGTCCTATAGCTATTTTCATTAGTATGATAAGAGAAGAAACACCACCACCCGAAATCTTGCAAGTCATCTCATTCACTTAATTGCAGGTTTGGGCACCAAAGTACAAACTGAATGATCTAAAAGCTGCAAATAGCACGTCCTTGAGTGAACTGTTAAGTGAGTCTCGTAACTACTATGTCTGTTTAAAAAAATGGAAATTTCCATCCCTCCATCTGCTATTCTTACACTTGTTTTTTTGTGTTTTGGGTTTTTTTTTCTGCAAATGGAAACA